CATCTTTTGGTACGCGGAGTCTTCATCGCGTGCTCGCCAATCGCGATCTGGGTAAAAGCAACCCTATCCCACGAGCCAATCCTGCAGCCGCCTCCCCGCTTCCTCCACACCTCGCCCCACGAGCCCCTCTCCCCTCCGCCGCCTCCTCTCCTTCACTTTTCTCTCGGCGTCGCCACCAAAGGAGGCGCACATGGGCGGTGGATCCGTGCCAGAGAAGAGCGGCGGGGACTGCGCTCCGGTAGCAATGGGGTGCAGCCGGCCGCGGGGAAGATCGCGCCGCCGCCCTTTCCTTCCTCCATCCCTGCCCCTGCCACGAACCCCTCCTCTTCCCCTTCCATACCGGCCTCTGCCGCTCTCCTCGTTGGGCATCACTCCATGTTGCGGAGGACGGTTTGCAGCCTGTGCAGTTGAGGTGAGGAACGGAGGTGGGGGGAAGGAGCAACAATGGGGAAGATGTTGTGTGCGTTGTGGGAAGCAGCTTGTTGAAAGCCCTGGCTGGCCAGGGGATAAGAGCAGGAGGTAAAAACCCTAGATGCCATCCTCTCATTCGGGCTGCATCCCCACGTCTCGTGTTGCCCTCTCTCCTCCCCATTGCTCTGCTTTCCCCCTGATTTCTCTTTTCCATTTTTCTCCTTTGTGGTTTGACTAGGCGGTTTATAGGGTCATCCAATTTTTATTTGCAGGTGCTAATCTTGCTGCAAGTTGTTGGCTGGGTCTCTTTCTCCCTAGGGAAGGCATAGTAGACCTCGGGGAAACCAAGGATCTTGCGGTGGCTATAGCGATGCCCCTATCATCTCATCCCTCTTTCTATGTGCTTCTCTCCATGGACAGCATCGCCATGGCCAGATCGATGGTTAAAGCCATAGGTGAAATATATTTCTCTTTATTAGTCATTTGTGACAAGCACACTCTTCCTTGATTCGATTTTCTTCAGGATGTGATTATTTACTATTTTTCTCTCGATGCAGCATTTTCCCTTGATTAAATTCAGAAGATGGCGCTCGTTGCCAGCGGGATCTCGAGGAACATGTGACCTCCATGGTGTTCACTGCTAGACGGTGTGGCAAGGAGGGGTACCTTCTGCGGCGATCTTTCTTGGGGAACCCTGGGCAACCGTCATTCAGGTCTCCTACTAAAGCTCCTCCTCGCCACCACGAGTGCACGCCATGTCTTCCACCCTGACATGTAAGTTGCGTTCCACCCATCCCCATCTCTCTCTCTTGTTTATGTTGTCTGATTGAATGATTATGGTGATCTCATGATTGTGGAATATTTCTTGCTCTTCTGGGCTTGTGGAAGTGGCCACTTATGGAGGTTGATTGATTTGGTTGGTTCGATAGGATCCCAACCTGAGGAGAATGATGGTTTGGAGATGGCTAGGTAATGTGATAGATTCAGACATCTTATTTGTTGGATGTGTATTTCTTTTTAAATAGGCAATATGTTCTTGTTTGATTGCTCTACAAGGTCTCAAATAGTCAGCTACCATCATTCTTAAATCAAAGGAAAGATTACTGCACTTGTAGTTATGATATGTGCTAATAATGAATTGAAAACATGAAAATTGTAACCTGAAGGTTTGAGCGTTGTCACCTAACCTTTTCTGTTTATAATGAACACCAGGGTATAAATCTTCAAGTGTCTTTCTTGTTTAAGCTTGTGTTCGATTAGCTTGCAGCCCTTGGTAGCACTAAGACTTCACTGGCATCATTTACAACCCTATTGGCTCTCTTTGCAGCAGCCTGTGGGGCATCGACCAGACTGGCAGCGCTTCCAGGAAGGAGAGGCTTGGGGGCCTCGTGGATTGGGAAGATGGCGGCCACCCGGGTTTCTTCGATCGATCTGCGATCTGGACAGGGCCACGGCAACGCGGGCGTCGGGCGTAGGCGACCGACCCTCTGCAGCCACGCGTTGACAGGTAGAAGGCATAACACTCCTCCCACCTTTGCTTCTCCCCTCCTCCCCTTCACTTCCCACTCCTTTCCAATCTAGACTACCCACCTACGTCCGCATATTTTTTCTCTCGATTTGTACTACTTGATTCTCTGGTTCTCTTATAATCTTATTTTGATTCCTCAACTTTTAGTTACCTGTCGAGACTATAAGAAGAATTTTGAGGAAGAATTTGATCAAGAAGACCAAGGTGAATTATGTCTCTCTTGAACACAGTCACGCCTGTTCCTGCATTTTTGGATTTTTCTGTGTAGTAGAGCACATGCCATGATTTTGTACTCCTCTTCCTTTCGCAACCTTGCCTGCCGAGCGCACTGAGCTGTTTTGCTGTACAAAGAGCCTCTCCTTTTCAATGTGCCATGGTGTCCCTCTCCAGGCTAGCTCCAAACTTTTGACCCCATCATTCCCATGATGTCTAAGAATATCATAGGGAAGAGGCTCTGGGAGAGGGGGTTTGGTTTTACTTTTCTGGTTTTGCAACACGATGCGACGAATTTCTCTTGCACGTATGGCTTTATTCCTTCATTTACCATATGCAAATCTTAATCTTCAATTTGTTTGGTTTCCTATGAGTGGAGATTACTGTGATGCTATGTAAGCGTAAAGTGTAGAGTGAATCAGATATGTGCTAGGTCCACTAATTTAGCTCATTACCTTGCTTCATTGTTGTGTAGATGCAAAACTTGTTTTCCCTTTTGCTGAATTTGCCACTATTTTTCATTTCTTCTCATTATTATCTAATCAAAGTGACTCGACGTATTTGAGGCTCTCGTGCATGTCTGGTTTGGACTTGCCCTTATTTTTTACCAAATCACTAAACTAAACTGTATAAATAAAATAGACCCCCTCCTTTCCAACACCTTATATATTATTAGAGTGAGCAATAACATGTTATCATATTCGGTTTCTTGTGAGAAGCACTTCAGTTTAGATTGTCATATACTCTTTGGTATATAGCATTTTTTGCTTATATCTATTGCCTATTTCGCATAGAGAGATGGTTTGCTTTGGAGAGGAATTAGATAAGGCCCATGAGTCCTAAGTAAGTGTGATAAGCAAGCCCTGCACTTCTATTTACTATTAAGCGTCAACTAAATTTTTGATAATGGCATTTCAGAGATAATACAATCAATCCAACAGTTAATTTTGGTGTGCTTTTTGGACGGACTAATATGAAGACGCTGGCTAGCTCGCATTGCCATCATATAGTCTAGAAGCAAGGGCAAGGATTATAGGGAAAATGAAGGTACAATGCTCCCAATATATTTTACCTTCTCGGCGAAGTTTTGGTGCTTGCGCAAGAAAATAACACCATCATTATACCTACTGCTCATTTTTTATTCAGGCAATTAGCCATCAATAGGAAAAGCCAACTAATTGTACTTTCTCTATTGCAGAGGTGAAATTACTACTACTTTTCGAAAGTTTTTTTTATGCATGTTCCCCTTTCTTAATCTTCTATTTTTTCAAATGTACATACCTGTGCTTATAATCATTATTACACTTGGTTCTAGTGCAAGAGCATACTTTATCTTTCAATTTCCATCAATCCATCTTGATGTGTGATTGGGTTGTTGTGTGATGCTGTTAGCTATTGATATGGTGTCTGCTTATGTCTGTTCATAAGTACGCCCTTTGCCTATTGTTCGGTTGAGACGTATAGCAAGCACAAGAAAAATCTGCTAATGAGTCCTTAGCTAGCTTTTGATATTTTAGTCCTCTGGCCTTGTTCACACATAGCTCCAGAATTAGGGAACTAGAAATAACTGATTCTTGTCCACAAAAAACAGCTAGGTAATTTTCATAGACCTTCTGACCTTCATTATTATATGCTTTTGCATTTGTTGCATTCGTTCTTTCAGGTTGTTTCATTATTTTTCCATGTTGGCTTTAGGATGCCCAGTGTATTTCAGCTCATATGTACATGTATTGTGTATGGTTTATTTGTCCTATCTGCCGGTGTCTGAGCATGACAAGCAGCAAAGAGGGAGGGGGGATTTTTTAAGTACAAAGCAAAATGTGCACAAAATAGATGCGGCTCACAATGTCATAGCATAGACTGGAAAAAATATACATTGTATATATATCATAAATACTATTATCCAGTGCTCACGATTTATGTTCACATAGATACATGGTAACAACAACATACCTGGTTTTGTGGATAATGACTACTCCAGTGCCACAACAGTAGAATACACTAGACTGGTCAAAAGTGCTCCATTGCCTCAATTGTAGAATACACCGGACTGGCCAAAAGTTGTCCATAGCCACAACTGTAGAATATATGTCGCAGTTTGACCTTCATACTCTCAATTTGAAGCTTCATATCATCCTGTTTAGCCAAAAAATATCATAAATTGCACATTCATTTGGGTAAACATGTTGGCTTTCATGTAGTGATATTTTGCTTTGGCAGTGTGCATCGTATGATGCTGAGGCCTAGAGATGAACCTTTCCATCATCTTAAAAGAAAAAAAGTTTGTACCCAATAGAATGAAATACTTTTGCCCAGGGTGTAACAGCTACCTGGGAATGAGAATGCCTAAGGTCTCTTGCAGTTTCTGAAACTTCTTCCTGCAGATCAAAGATATCTCAGAAGCTATCTCCCCGGAAGCTCCTATAAACTGAATATCCACTGCTGCTGCTACTGAGCTGCGCTACTGATGTGCTTGATTGTGAATTTGTCTTCAGGGTTGTATCAGCATGGTAAGAGATCTCGCTGCCAGCACTGCCTAAAGGGCTAGCTTCAGGATTGACCTATTTATATTTACGAGTGTGTGATCACATTGCGATGGCAGAGATGACTGGCGGAATAATACAGTTGATGTTCCATTTCTGACAGCCCACTCTGCTGTAGACAGAATAGTTAGTAACACTCTAATACACTTTTTTTGTTTGTATTCAGTTGATAGGTGTAATCAACAATTTTCAGAAAACAAAATCAAATGCAGACTTGAGTATTACCTGAGGGCGCACTGGAAAGGCTTCCAGAGCTAGGAGAAGAAACGGTTGAAGAAGATATGGTCTTAGGTGTTTCATAGGCATCAGGTGTAAGAGTGCACGAATGACAGTTTGCCCTTTGAAACGACGTACGCCGTACAGAAGCTTGGAATGCATTCAGAGATTTTTGTTGAAGTCTTGCTTCCTTTGAGCTTCCTGCAAACAATCAACAATGGTAGCCACACGATTAAGATTGCACTAGGCAATTCTTATCCTATACTGTACTGGGTTTTATTCTTTATAAAAATTGTTCAGCCTAAATTTTCTGCAAATTTCCATATTGAACTTGGAACCAAGTAGTTGCAGTGCAACCTTCAGTGTTAGGCTGGTAGCTGGGGAATTAAATGAGAAGACAATGATAATCCTACCAAATGCTTTTCTCACTATATATCACAGTGCTCCAGCTAATCATCCTAAAAGTTTTCCAAGACGTATAGTGGTAACATTAGACACTACCAACATCAAACGTGGTGTAGAACTGAAATTAGTATGACAGAGAGAACTAATAAAGGGGTGAAAGTTTCTTATGACAGTAATATCGTCCGTTTTCGTCCGACCAGTTTCGTAAGTTGTCCTTGGTCGTCCGTATATGTTTCTGCTTGGTAAGTTATGTGGGATAAAATTCGAATTTCTGTTATGGGCCACTGAAAAATTGCCCCATGTGCTAATCTTTTGGACTTCTTTTGTAATTAATAGTCTCGCCCTGCTTCTTTACATCAAATCCTAGCAACTTATATATGTGCTAGATATGCAAGAATCAAACAAGCGAGCGAGGCCTGCCGCATAATGCCACCAATCGAAAAACAACTCCGACGAGGAAGACCAGGCTGCTATCAGCAACCAGCGAGCGAGGAAGGAACCAAAGAATAGAAATAGCCCGTCGGCTTGTGCAGCCGCGGAGCATCCTGAAGACCCCTGTGACACTAAAAGAGGGGAGGGAAGGGTGGATGGAGGAGGAGCAGAGAATCACCTCCAGGCGAAGGAGTTGGTGTCGCAGGCGACGACCCCCGCCAGGGGCAGTGGTCGCGGCCGCCGTCCCAGTCGACGAGCGCGTTGGCGTCGTTGCCGAAGCACGCCTTGACGGACATTAGCGTCTTCCCCGTCTCCTATGCCGCCGCTGCCAACAGCCCAAGCACCGCCGCACGACGACGGCGCTAAAGCGACCGTCCTTGCCTTCTCCCTCCGCCACCTGCGCACTCCGTACGGGATCGAGAAATCTCCTCTCCGGACCCACCTTGTGTCCGTCAGGGGAAGAAGCATAGCCGTGGTGGTGTGTGTTTTTTTTGACGGGTGTGTGGTCTTGTGTCAGCGGGGAGGGGAGAAACCGGGGGAGATGGACACGACCTGCGAGCGAAGAGAAAACTGGTGACGTGTACACGTGGAGCACCAGCACCGACGAGCAAAGCGGCTGGTTTGGGAGAACGTGTGTGCACACATGTCGGACTGGTTTACAAGACGGGTAAACATATCCGAGTCCATCACACGAACGTGTTAGTGTACGCATGTATTTTTATTTTGAATACGTGTACGCATGTATTTGTTCTCCGAACACATGCATTGCTGGATTTGATGCTATATATTTTTGTTATCAGGTTGGATTTACCTCAGTTTGTGTCCCTCACGAACTCAGACCATCTAAAAATGTGAAAATTGGATTCCCGCAAAAAAAAACGTAAAAACAGGAAGATTAATATATAGAGTAGTATAGCATGCAGTCGAACAAAAAATATAAATTGTCTTCAGGCATTGTTGATCCCGGTTCATACGAGTGCATAATAAACCACCAATGCCCAATCTCCATGAAGCTATTGTTCCAGATTTAAAAAATGATGTCATGCGTGACGTTCCTAAGACGGACATATTAGAGGTGGTATGTATGAACTTGGCAACCACCATATACATTCTTTTGACCCAAACATTGATGCTACGAAGGAACAACAACAGTTGCATCCAAGTAAAATTACTCTAGAAGTGTCGGATGCTCAACATTTTAATTGTCTAAATGGCAATACAATCTGCCAATGTGGTATACAGAATATAATCAATTTATTTTATCCTAAATCTGTATAGTTAGTTATTCCACTTCTGTTTATGTGCTGGTTAGTTGCACTATATGATATAGCTAGCTATGTAGTTTTCTTTATAAAGTCGGATTAAATAATCCACCGCAAGCTACATTTGTAGCTTTGTTTTGATGTAAGTTCATGCTTTTAGTCTATCGTGCTTCCCATTATCAGGCTTGATACGCCTGCGCCAGTTATATATAAAGACGCCATCTAAGTATCTCCTTGCATTGGTATGCCTGGACCGTAATGCTATCAGGATCAATAAAATATGCCATCTAAGTATAATGGTTTTAAATTTTAATGCTTGGTTTGCTTTGGCTACTTGCATCAGTTGCACAAGCAGCCTCTGTTTTTATTCCACATACCCAAGGGCAATATATTTTGACCTTCTATCTTTGTTCAACTGCAATATCTCAAATCGAAAGGCACAAACTTATTTTGAATGGTAACTAATTGGATCCGACCATGAGTGAGCCAAGGGATTGTTGTACTCCCTCGCTGTCTTTTCTAGTTTCACTCACTGCCAGAGCAAGAATACTATGTTTTGGTGGGGTTTCTTTTGGAAACAAAGACAACATATCTCGATGTGAAATGCTTCGACCATCACGTTTTAATGTTAGCCATTATTAGGTTTATGAAAAAGTATTTCACTACTACCATGCTTCTATTCTGCATGTTCTTTTTGTCATAGGATGCATGTGACATCATTAGTATTAAGTATGAGGTAGGGGTTTTATGCCTTTCGGTAGATCTCAAGGTCTCATTGAGTTTTATGGATGGTAGTACCAGCAGAGGGGAGGGTCTGATAGTTAGAAGCTACCAGTGAGAGAGAGCAAACATTTAATAGATATGCCTGTGTGCTGGTATTAATCTAACCATGTTTATGTATATGGGTGACGTGCTTTTCCATAAATTTGTCTGTTTGCAATTTATCTTTTGCCGAGGCAAAGGAAATGGTGTGTGTGTGTGTGGGAGAACTAATATATTTTAGGACGATGGCTTAATTGCAGGCAGGAAAAAAGATTTGGAATGTATATAGCAAAATGAAGGACAACAATATCAAAACCTGGTCTACAGGAACCAAAGATGAAGAGTTGTTTAGACGATGAAATCATGGTCAATATTGATGGAACATGCCATGATGGCTCTACCTAATATCACCACCTTTATGTTTTTCCTGTTGGTAGCAGATACAAGACTCAGCTAGGGGTTAAGAGATCAGCTCTACCTATATGATGCATCTTTGTTAAAATAGTTTGTCTTATAAAGCCAATATCAAGTGATTTCATAACTTTCTTTTGAGCTATCATGCTACCATGTAATGAAATATATAACGTTGTGTACTAAGTATCTGTTTAATTGGCTCTAAATTGCTCTCACTTTCATGGCTCACTCTCGCTTTTTGCACCATGGGCGCAACGGGTCGTCTAGCATGAACAAAGGGCAAGCATATGCTTTCGCTTTTAAATGCAATTCCAAGGGTCTGCGCCTGATCGTCTACTCAATATAAGCAAACTACAAAAGCCCCTTGTTATATAACTTAATATTAGTATAAATGCCTACCAAGACTTCTATGGTTATCATCCTTTTGGATCTTATGTAATCCACTAAGATCATCCTGTGCATTTAGCTATCGGTTATTTGCTGCTTAGACTGCTGTGTGGTATGCTATTGAAACAACCATGATAAAAGAAATATATGCTTTCGTCTTCAACTGCATGTCCAAAGGCCTCTGCATGATTTCCTATCAAATCTAAACAGATCACAAGAATCCTTTCCTACATGACTTAGTGCATCATTTTTGATCTTATCATCTTATGTAAAACAAACCATGACAATCATGTGTGCATGACTATCGCTTGCTTGCTGCCTATAGTATCAGAGCTATGCTTTTCGAACAACAATATGTTAATGCACACTCTTTCAATACTTGGCTTACACTCGGCTTTTGCGCCATTGGCGCAACGGGTCATCTAGTGTACAGAAAACATGCCCAGTAGCTATGCTGAAAAAAGGAATCCTTCAGCCAGTGGGCGTCAAACATGGGAGCCTTGGCTGAAGGCCAGCGCAAATTGGCTGGCCCACTCTGCTTGTTAGCCGGTTGTCTAACTTTCCTCTTCTTCTGTTTTTAGTAGGTTTTTCTGGCTATTTTTATTTTTGGCTTGATATTTCAAAAATAGAAAAAATATTTTAGAATTTTTTTAGTACGTTTTATATATAAAAGTGTTCAGTATATATATAAAAAGTTCAATGTACATTAAAAATGTTCGGTGTATGTTATAAAAAAGTGAAATGATGTATATGGTGTACGTAACATTAATTCTATAACAGTTAAATTTATTTTAGACTATTTGTTGAATTCACGATTATATTTGGAAACATGTATAATGTGCGTGAAAAGCGTTAAATATGTATAGAAAAATGCTTCTGATGTATACGAATAATGTACAACGTGTAAGAAAAAGAGTAGACATCAAAAACATATATATATAGGAAAAATCCATCCTACCACCCAGTGATAGTTACCCCACATGTTTCATATACTACCATGTGGTACTATATATACTATTGTATTATTTTAAATATGTTCATATAATATATCTAAGATATTTAAAAGCAAGTTACATGAAAAAATTGCATATGAGCCCATAGCTTTTTTTTATATTTGTGAAATACGTATATATTTGTACTAAAAAAGAGCATACTCAAAAAATGGTCCATACTACCTAAAAATTAGTATATATACTACCTAATCATTGTTATATACTACATACTACATGTACATACTCTCGGTATCCACAGATACTACATACAACATACAAAACGCAAGTGGTGGTAACTACCACTGCTTGTAGGAAACATTTGTCATATATATATATATATATATATATATATATATATATATATATATGAAAATGGGTTAGTACTCCTAGGAGTACATACTCCCTCCTTCCTCGGTTCACAATTGTCAAACCCGAGGAGTGACTATATAAATTAGCAAACACACTGATTTTTCGGGCGCTCTCGCATCTAATCTTTCCCTCGGCTTCACACATCCCGAACTGCAGCAGCCGGCCCCTGGATACACGTCAGAGCGGAACCGCGGCGGCCGCCGCTATCACTCCCCGGCGACCGATCCAAATTGCAGCTTCCATTGGCCAACGGATTAGAGAGCGCGAGACCAGCCGGATCCGAGGTTTATTTTAATCAAAGGTCAGTGATTTCTCTTGGACGTTCTGTGCGTGTTGATTCCCTGTTCTACAGTAGATCCGTAGCATGTTCCAATCCATTAACCAAAATTGTCTTGCTTTCTTCTAGATCTGAAGAGGAGCGTGCGCCCCGTCCAGGATCTGATTGTTTGCTGACTAGTTAATTTTTGTGGATGAGAGAATTTTCTGGTGCTTTGTGGATGTCCTTGCTGGATCGAGGCTGGATGTCTCACGTGGAAGAATTGATTCATGTGGCTCGTGGGGGTGAATGGCGTAGCATCCCATCGTCGATCTTCAGCACACTCTATTGATCCTACCGCTAGCGGCGCCGAGTCAGCCGTAAACAGATGAACATATTTCTTTAATTATTTTTGTTAGTGGACATATGATCAAATGGATTCACAAATAGTGATTTCAGCTGCTATTTCTTCTTTGGGAAAGTAGTATATACCCAACGAAAAGGAACAATACCTCTGGTTTCTAGTTTAATCACTATGTTGAAACCTTTGGTTGAAGGATCAAGAACGGCACCTTGCTGCCATCTTCTTTATATGTTCAGTATTGTCTCAATATGAAATTGCTGCTAGAATTTTCTATTTTGGAAAGGAACATACATTTCCCACTTCAACAAGTGCTGTATTTTTCTGCGGAGACATACGACCACATTACAAAATGTATTACACATGTTGTTTCATCTAACTTTTCACATACTCTTGTATTGTATACTTTCATCTAACTTTTCTTATAACTCATTGCAGAGACTAGACTCTCACATAAGACCAGCATATACCCATGTAAAAGAACTAGGAGTATATTCTCCGTCACTAAAGAACAAGTATATACTCCCTTACAAAAAAAAGTTGTATATATTACTCCCTACGTAA